TCTCCTTTTTTTTGGTATTTTCATGCAAATTCTTCTGCTAGTTGGGGTTTAGTCCAAATCTGCATCCTTTCCTTCAAGGCTCAGTGGTCCAAGATTATCTTCTGTATCTGTGTTAATTGGTTTCCCTTTTCTTTGTTGAAGAGGGTCTGTGCAATCCTTCTGCCTAGTCCGCCATCTTGCCCCGCCTCCCTACATTGTTTTTAAGCATTGCATAGTATTCCATTGTCACTCATAAGCTTTTAAGACCCCAGTTGTTACTCACCCAAGTAGGATATAGAACATTGTCTTTGTGGACTATGTTGTACTAATTGACCTTATTGTTCCCCAAGACTGTGGTCCTGAGCCTCCATACCCCGTGGCTCATTCCCTCAAGGTGTTTGGTCATCACTAAGATGTTTTCATAACTTTGTCCCCTGTATACTCTATTACATTTAGGGATATATCTGCAGCATGTATAAATACTTAGGTAGACATAGCCTCTGTCAAACCTATATATATTGCTACCTCTGTTTGCCTTGAGTATCTATCTATGCATCCAATTGTAAATTATTGCAGGATTGTGTATGTAATAGTATTCCCCTTTTTACCTTTAACTCTTCTGCTCCTCTCTATGTCTTCCACTGCCTTGATCATTTTGTGCTGACCTCCAACTTCCTGTAACATGCCTTTCCCTTCACCCAAGTTAATTCATATCTACCCTCTAGTTGATGATTATTTCTTCCTTCCTCTCTTACCCCTAGTAAACTTCAAAGAACAATTCTTTCTGTGTGTAAATATTTCCTTAACTTTTTATAGTAGTGGTCTTATACAATAATTGCCCTTTTGTGGGTGACTAATTTCACTCAGCATAATGTCCTCTAGGTTTATCCTTGTTATGAGGTGTTTTGCAGATTCATCGTTATTCTTTAATGTTGCATAGTATTCCATCGTGTGTATGGACCACAGTTTGCTTATCTATTCATCCACTAAGGGGCACTTTGGTGATTTCCATCTTTTAGAAAATAATATTAATTTTTGTTTAAAATTCCTTGGGAATCCATGTTTTGGTAGTGCTTTCTTCTGCTTGTCTATCAGTAGATGCCTTTATGCATGATTTGAACTGTCTTAACATAGTTATTTACAAACACACTTTTCTGGTCAGGGAGCCAATAAATGTACCAAAGAGAAATTTATGTGAACTCTGTCTTTGCTGGTTGAAGAGAACAATCTTGTGGTGAGCTTAAAGCATTTGACTGCTAACCAGAAGGCTGGTGGTTCAAACCCACAAGCCACTCCTCAGACAGAAGACTGGGCAATCTACTTCCATAGAGATACTGCCTCGACACCCAAGGAGGGGTCACTATGGGTCAGAATTGACTTGATGGCAGTGAGTTTTGTTTTTCTCATGGTGAGGTGCCTAAGGCATTTGACTGCTAACCAGGAGGTTCGTGGTTCAACCCCACTAGCTACTCTGCAGAAGGAAGATGGGGCAATCAACTTCTATAAAGATTTACTGCCTGAGAAACCCAATAAGGGTCGTTATGAGTCAAAACTGACTTGATGGCAGCAAGTTTAGTGATTTTTTTATGCTTTGTGTTTTTAGATAATCCAAAGATAGACTATTTATCACAAAATCCATTTATTTCTATTTAACTTAAGAAGTTAAGGTTCATTGAAATTCCCTAGGCACATTGTTAGTTTCCATCCAGTTGACTCTGGCTCATGGATACCCCATGTGTACCGAGTAGAGTTGCTCTATAGAGTTTCAGGGTTTTCAGAAGCAGGTCTCCAGGCCTTTTTTCAAGGTGTCTCAGGATAGGTTTGAACCACCAATGTTTTGGCTGATAGTTGGGCACTTAACCATTTGCACTACCTAAGAAAGAAGTAAGTTGATGAATCCCTCGGTCTCTGATTCAGATATACATTACTGAGCATCAGTGATGTGTGCAAGGTGGGTCATCTGCCTTTAGGCAATTAAGAAAGTCACAGGACCTGGAAAGTGGATTCAACACATACAGGGGCAGAACGTTAAATAGAAATAAGACACAAAAACTCAGCTATGTTACAGGGTAGTATGAAATAAGTGTCCCGAGTGTGTGTGTGTGTGAGAGAGAGAGAGTTCAGAACCTAGTGGGTAATAGTCACAGTTATAACCCCTTCAGTGACATAGGGTTAGGGCTCATAGTCTGTCAGGCTGAAGCACTTATTCTGACCTTTGCTGTAATCCACTGCTACCAGAACCCAGCTTCTGTGGAAGAGTGGTGTTGCATATTTTATTTTGTGTTTTCCTCTCTTTGATCCCATTGCACTCTTTGGTTTGATTCTTCAGGATCAACTAGTTCCTGGACTATGGGAATTGATGACTCACCTAATGTCACAGATGACACAGCTGATGAGATCATGGACCGAATTGTCAAGTCAGCCACACAAGTGCCCAGTCAGCGAGTGGTGCCGAGGGAGAGGAAGCGATCTCGGGCCAACAGGAAATCTCGTGAGTGCATTGGAGGAGGGAGGAGGATTAGTCCTGCTCAGATCTGTCCTCTCATACTAGGTGCCTTGGGGAAGGGTAGCAATACTGAGACCAGCTCCCAACCGATTGTCTGAGGCTGAGGCTGCCTAGAGTGCTCACCTGCTCTCATCAACAAAACCTTTCATGCTTGATTATATTGCTGGTCATTGTGGAGGAGGGGAGCTGCAGCACAGGTGTCCAGTGTATTTGCCATTTCTACCAAAACCAAACAAAACCAAACTCACTGCCATTGAGTCGAATCTGACTCATTGTTGTTGTTGTTGTTATGTGCCGTCGAGTCAAACCCGACTCATAGTGACCCCTCCTTGGGTTTCCGAGGCAGTATCACTACGGAAGTAGGATTGCCCAACCTTCCTTCCGAGGAGTGGCTGGTGGGTTTGAACCACCAGCCGTCTGGTTAGCAGGTAAGTGTCTTAGCCACTATGCTACCAGAGCTCCACCCATATTTGGGTCTCCAAGGCAGTATCACTATGGAAGTAGATTGTCCAATTTCACTTCCGAGGAGTGGCTAGTGTCAGGCCTCCTCAATTCATACTTCATTCCCAAGAAGGTCTGAAAGGACCTTAAATGTTACTGGTTTACAAGTATGGGCCCACTGGGACCCATTGTCAAATACTGCCCCAGGTGCTTTGCTAGAGGCCATATTTCTGCCCCTCATCCAAGATCAGGGCTACTTCTGGGCTAGAGGCTGGTTCTGCTTGGTTCAGAAGCTGTGTCTACACTGTTGCCCACAAACATATTGAATGAAGGTGAAAAATGAGAATAGTAAAGGATTTTTATGGTCACTGGTGCTTAAAATATTTCATGTTAATCTAGGCTGAACTTTTTTTTCTACCAATTAGATGATTCAGCTAAATCAAAGTGATGGGTTTTTCTTTTAGTCTGAGCCTACTGCTTGCTCCTACTCACTGAATTGATAGGTGTGGTATTGCCTTTTATGTGCAGTGCTGACTCACAGGGAACATTCTCCATAGAGAAATCAGGTTCCTGTGAATCTTCTAACATCTGCCTGCATTAGCTGTGGCCCTTGGGTGTTTCAGGAGAGAGCCCAGCCCCGAGCTTCAGCCATATTGTGTCTCCCAGGAGCCCAAGGGAGTGTGTGTCTCCTTAGGCTCTGCCTCTAGGAATAAGAGATGATGACTAGGAAAGGGGTTTGTGGCATGTGACAAGAAGGGAGTCTAGTTGCCTCCCCTTGTTCTTCTGGCTCCAGAAAGGGAAAGGGGAGTGACTCAAAGTAGGTAGGGTGTTCAGTAAGAATAGAAAAACCCCCACCTTGTTCCAACCTCCAAGATTCACATAGAGGTGATTGGGGTTTGGGCCATGGACATTGGGTTCATGGTTCTGTTTGACTCACTGACATAGTTTGTTTCCATGGTGGTGGTTGTTCCTTTTACATGTTCTATGTTAGCGTCTCATTGGAAGTTTTCCCTAGAAAAGAAAATAACACTTGATGACTCTTACTAGAAAGAAATAGCTGCTCAAACCCCTGGGAGCCTTTGGAAAATCAATTCTCATTCAAGAGGCTGGGTGGGTCAAGCAGACACACGCCCTGGAGAGAACAATCATGGGAGAAGGAAGGGCTGCTTATGCACAGGGAGATAGCTCAGGGTGCAGAAGAGTATGAAGGGATGGACACTGGGAGGAGGTAACTATGGGGAGGAAGTGGGAGGGGAGCTGCTGCATTGTAAATTTTGGTCAATGACATGAGACAAAGTATATGTGAACTGCTGTATGAAAAGTGAATTTACTCTGTAAATCTTCACCCAAATCCTAATTTAAAAAAAAAAAAAAAGAGGCTGGGTGGGGCTGAGAATCTATTTCTGATCAGCTCCCAGTGGATGTGGATGTTGCTGGTCCTTGGTCCACATTTTTATTTATTTTATTTTTTTTGCAGTGTTCTCTCCCCTCCCACCCCTAGTAACCAACAAAGATTCCTTCCATATATAAACCTTTCCTTGACATTTTACAGTAAGAACTACTACAATATTTGTCTTCCTGTGATTGCCTTATTTCACTCAGCATAATGCCCTCCAAGTTCATCCATGTTATGTGGTGTTTTGCAGATTCTACATTAGTCTTTAGGGTTGCATAGTATTCCATTGTGTGTATGTACCATAGCTTGGTTATCCATTCTTCTGTTGGTGGGCACCTAGGTTGTTTCCATCATTTTGCTATTGTAAATAGTACTGTGATGAACATGGGTGTGCATATATCTGTTCTTTTGCTGGCTCTCACTTCTTTAGGATATATACCTAGTAATGGGATTGCTGGATCAAATGGTATTTCTAATTCCAACTTTTTTTTTTTTTTAATTTTTATTGTGATTTGGGTGAAAGATTACAGAGCAAATTCATTTTCCATATAGCAGTTCACATACACTTTGTCTCATAACATTGACTGAAATTTCCCACATGCAACAGCACTCTTCCCACTTTCTGCCCATAGTTACTTTTTCCCTGTGTCCTTCTCTCCCATGCATTCCTGCCCCCCGGCTATCTCCCTGTACATACACAGCCCTTCTATTCTCCCTTGATTGATCTCTCCAAGAGTGTATCTACCTATGTAAATGTTCAGCTCATATGCCTGTCTATTGTTTGGTTGTAAGCCACAGGAGTGGGTTCAATTCCAGACTTGAAGGACAAGTAGGAGCCATAGTCTCAGGGGTTTCACCAGGCTCTATCAAGTCAGCAAACCTGGTCCCTTTTTTTTTTTTTATGGTTTTGAGTTTTGTTCCACATTGTTCTCCCACTCTATCCAGGATCTCCTATACAGATTCCCACTTCAAGTGATTGACAGTGGTAGCCGGGCACCATTTAGTTCTTCTGGTCTTATAGTCATATAGGCTGAGGATCACAGGGTGTACCAGTCCCTTGGACTAATTGTTTCCATGCATCTTTGGTTTTCTTCATTCTTCTTTGCTTTGGATGAGGAGAGACCCATCATTGCATCTAGAGGGCCGCTTCCAAACTTTCACAATTCCAGTCACTACTCGCCAGACTAGGATGTGGAAAAATGTTTTTGTGTAGTATGTTATGCCAATTGAACTTGATATCCCCTGTGACTATGGTCCTGAGCCCACAGGTCCAACTACTCACTCCCTCGTGGCCAAGAAGTGACTACAACCTTGTTCTTTGTCAGCCCTACTATACACCTGGACATTTTTACAGAATATACAAATACATTTGTAGAAACATTGTCTGCCAACCCTATACAGGGTCATGGGCACACACACACACACACACACGCCCCACTTAGACATACTTGATTGTTCAGCCTGTCCATCCACCTATCCACCCATCGATCAATGTTTGCCATCACTGACAATGCAGTACTCTATGTGCAAAAGGGTCCATCTCTGTTGTCTGTACCTCCCATGCACCTCTCTATGTCTTCCTCAATGCTACTTTATTGATCAGTCATATTTGGTACATTGCCCTTCCCTTTACGCAAATCAATACTTGCCTCTCTACCTATCTAGCATTTCCCCAACCCCCCCATCCCACCCCTGGTAACCAACAAAAAAAGTTCTCTTCCGTATATAAACTTTTCCTTGACTTTTTACAATAGCAGACTAATACAATATTTGTCCTTCTGTGATTGACTTATTTCACTCAGCATAATGTCCTCCAAGTTCATCCATATTATGTGGTGTTTTGCAGATTCTACGTT